ATGTGGGTGGCACACCCACCACGCCACTGCCCGCACACTTACCGGAAGGTAGGAGACGGGAAAGTCAAACCTGTAGTCCTCAGCCTGCAGTTTATAAACCAGCTTCATCATTGGGCCCCTGCACACAAGATCCAACAGGCAGGTGCGTGAGCACTAGGTGCCTTTGTTTCTTTAGGGAACTAAGTCACTCAGAGAGGACCACTGTGAGGGGCAACCCAGCCCCTCCTGGGCGGCACACCTACCTACCCAGGGTCTAGAAACTCCATCGCAATGCTGTATTCCACAGGGTTGACGCGGCCCTGGAGGCAGCGGAGATTCCAGCCCAGGAGGATGCCGTCGAGACTGCCGAAAATGTTCTCCACCAGCCATGGGAAGATGGCTCGCAGCTCCTGGGACAGGGCACAGGTGAGGCTATGGGCCAGCGCATGGGCACCAACGCCAGGGTGTCATCTATACAATAGGGCTCCAGCCACCCAATGTCCACTGAGGTGTCACTTCCCATTCAGATACGCAGAGACCAAGACCTGCCCCCAGCGCGGAGGTGCCACTGCAGGGCCGGCAACACAGGGCTGCGTTAAGAGCGGGCCGTTCTGGTCAGAAGGGAAATCAAAAGACCCAAGCTCCCTGCCCACCAGCTGACTCTCGATGACTCAGAGCAAGCCTATAAGTTAGAGAACCAGACAGGCTGCCACCCAGTCCGACTGGCAGCACCCTACGGGGCAGGGCACAACGGGGCCCCCCATGCTGGTGGTTTCGAACCGCTGGCCTTGCAGTGAGCAGAGCGACACTTACTTAACCCACTGCCAGTGCGCTGATCATGTTGTTGCTGTCAGGTGTCACTGAACCGGCTCCAACTCATAACGGCACAGTGTACAGCAGAATGAGACCCTACCTGTCCCTGCACCACCCTCACAATGTTCTACTGTTTGAGCCCACGGTGTCCCTGCACCTCCTTGAGGACCTTCCTCTTTTCTGCTGCCCCTCTACTTGACCAGGGACTGGTCTCTCTGACCACACGTCCAAAGTCCGTGAGCCCCAGTCTCCCCACCCTTGCCTCCAAGGAGCATCTGGCTGCACTTATTCCAAAACAGATCTACTTGTGCTCTTTCAGTAGTCGCTGCCACTATCATAACTCCAATGCACCCATCCTTCTTCGGTCCCTGTTACTCAGTGCAGAACTTTCACACGCACATGAAGCACTGGAAAATACCACCGCTTGATCAGGCACATCTCATTCCTCAAAGTAATACTCTTGCTTTTCAACACTTTAAAGAAATCTTGCGTAGCAGATGTACCAAACATACGTGCTTTCAAGATGTACATTTTCACGAAAGCAGGCAGCCTCACCTTTCTCCCTTGCAGCAGCAGGTGGGTTTGAACCCCTACCCAGACCAACGTCTAACACGCGGCACCACCAGGACTCAGAGCGCCACTAAAGAGCAGTCATGTTTTTTTCTCAGCGCGAACTCCTGAAATACAACTCCAACTTGTTGCTTCTTCATATTATCTACCTGCCTAGGTCAGCCTCCTGGGTTTGGTGATGTCAACTAGACACGACTAGCTAGGGGTGCAAGTCAACCTGTCAATCAAGTCACAGTCTGATGACGCTTCCTGGATGTCATAAGCCCTTTGTATAAGAGCCAGACAGAGCTGAACTCTACCCCTCTGCCTGCCTGCCTGCTGCAACTTTGCCTGTCAATGGGTGGCCCTACGTGGGCCACCTGACCTGAGAGCTGTCAGCACCCTGCCATGTTCCCACCGACCTTAGAACCACCCGCCTGCACCCACCGCCTGTGGTCTTGCTGCTGCCCATGTCACCCTTCGGTGTTACCGCCATGTGGCTACCCAAGTCTGCAGAGGTGCCCATGGACTGGCATCAGACTTGTGGACTTGAGGTGGGCGGGACTGGGATGCCTTCACGAGGTAAGTACTTCCTGGTGTCAAGCTGTCTCGTCACTGGACTTGTTTCTCTAGACAACCTGTCCAACACAGTGATGCTCACGACAGTTCTGAAGAGGATTCAAATACTTATTCTAAGTGCAGGTGTAGCTGGGTTAAAGCTCGACACCTTTTCATTTGACCCATTGTAAATCTGAGCTCGTTTTTAATATTTTCTTCTTCTGTTCGACGGAGATTTTTCTGGTTTACCTTCTTATTGTTGCTAAGTTTTGTTTGGGGATGATTTTTCTGTACATGAAATGCAGGGTAAGTATCTAGAGATAGTAACTGGAGGAATGGTTTCTTGGGGGCACGGCAAGGGAAGCTGCGGGGCAATGGGGCGCGAATAACAAAGAGTACAAGAAAGAAGAGCGTGTCCTGAAATGGATTGTGGGGATGACTGTACAACTCTTCTTGACAAGACTGACCTACTAAATTGTATGATATGTGGAATGTGTGTTAACACAACCGCTTTAAGAAAAGAAGTAGACAAACCGATGCATTCTTACTTTAAGGGCTGACAAAGAGTTCCTCATATGCTGGGCACAATGACTATTTTGGTACAGAGCATCCTATGTTGGGATGTTGAGACACATCCTTGGCTTCTACCCACGAGATACCAGCAGCCCAAGAAGCCCTGCTCTAAATGTTTAACGAGATGCATCATATGCCAGTCACAGTACCAGGAGAGGTCTCTGGGCAGACAGAGCTCCAAGGTGAAACTGTGGACCAGAAGAAAGTCTGTCAATGAGTGTGTGAATCAGGCCCAAACAAGATGCTCGCAGAGCTGTTACCTTGGCTGGAAAATCCTCGATGACTTTAACCAGGTCCTGGCACCGCTGGGCAAAGGGCTTATTTACAGAGTCCGCTTTCAGGCTTGCCTGGAAGATGGAACAGATGGAAAAGGGGGGAAATAAACACACCACAAAACACAAAGCATTACCGTTGCAGCTTTTGTACCTTCTGGCTTGAGGCCAGAGAGAAACCCAAGCAATAGGCAGGAGCCTGACACTTAACCACTGACCTGCTCAGCTACCCCCATGCATTACTGCACGTCCTCCTGACTGGCCCAGAGGTAGCCACAGGAGCGAGGCCGAGGCCCTGTGCTCTTTTGATGGGTCGCTGTCAGGCCCTCTGAGGCATGTCAGCAGCACGGAATGGCCTCCTGCAGAGCCTCAGGCACAGGCCCAGCTCCAAGGCCAGGAGAAGGTAGAGAGTCCCTGCTGGACCCGGAGGGTTCTCAGCTTATAGCCTTGAACTGGACGTGGCCCACAAAGCTGGCTGGCTGTCAACTTCCCTAACTGCCAGGTCGGTGAGAACCAACAAGGCAAGCCCACCAGCAGGCCCTCTTTCAGAAGCCTCTCTGTACCCATGAGAACATGAACTTTCTGAGCTCATCACCGGAGGAGAGAATCCAAAAGGAAACTGCTGGTCATCAGGCTGATTCCAATGCACTGCCCCCCGGGATTTCTGGGGCTGTCAGTCTGACGGGTTTCCTTTGCTCCCTCAGAGCAGTAGAGTTCAACTACTAACCTTGCAGTTAGCAGCCCAATGCCTAACTCAGAGCATCACCAGGACGCCCTATCTTGAGAGAAAGATTAGAGGCCGAGCTGTGTGGTTCCGGTCTGACCAAGGTAAGAGTGGCCGGAAGACATTGAAGACAAGCATTAAAGAACTAAGTGCACTCTTCCCCTCTGTCTTCTCTGCACTAGGAGCACCTCTCCTACCACCATCCCTCATCCCCTAGAAGTAGACGTGTGCGCCAAATGTGTCTCCCCCCTTCCCTGGTCAAGAGCACCTCCCTGCGACTGAACCAAACATTGTCTGCACTGGTGCTGAAACAGCCCGAGACACTGACAGATGAGCGCTTCAGCAGCTTGACGGCCCCATGTTCCCTGACCTCACATATCCCTAGTCGCAGCTTCCAAACCAGCAGCATGTCCAGAGGCACTGACACAGCGGCCAAGTTCACTGGGTCCAGGGCTGCCACAGTTGGGGTGTCGGGCTCTAGAGCTGGGATTGGGAGCCTCATCCTTGGTGATGCCAGGAACCCTGCTCTGAAGCAGCAGCTCTTCTATGCCAGCCTGGGTTTTGCCCTCTCGGAGGCCATGCGGCTTGTCTGCCCAATGGTGGCCTTTCTCCGCCTGTTCGCCATGTGTGGGAGCCCTCTCCACCTCCCATAGTTCTCTGTCCAGTCTCGTCTGCCCTGTGTGCTTCTTTCCCTGCTCCTCCCCAGGCAGCCTGGGGAAAGTCATTGGCTCAAGGTTTGACAGAGGGAAGACAAATAAATGCTCTACTACTAATAATAAAAAAACAACTACATGTAAAGTGGGAGAAGGGGGCATTCTGACCGCAGAGACCTCTCTGAGGACAGAAGTTCATGTGGGACTTTAGCTACATATAAGACCCTTGGATAGCAGAGGCCCTATCCCCTTCCCAACGCTGACGGACCATGGTCTAATCAGAGATGGACACCTGGGCCGAATGTCCCTCCGAACAAGGATTGACCGCGACAGACCAGGACAATACAGTCCACCCCTTATCACCAGCACTGCTTCACGTTGGCTTCTCAGCGCCACGTTTCATACTCAAAGTTCAGGCCGAGCTCACCTGGCTGGGGCAGCATTCCTTTGCACTGACCCACCCAACCCAATGTCAAGGCAGGGATGTGCGCCAATAGGCTGTCAGTGGCTGGTTTTCGGGTCTCTTCTGAGGCACTTCTGGGTGGGTCAGAACCTCCAACTTTTGGATCAGCATATGAACACATTAAACTCTTGAGAGCTTGTTGGGAGGTTCCAGCTGTGGAGCTCAACCAATCAGAGACCACTGACTGAAGGAAGGATTGACTTCCTTTATTGGGGAAGGCCACGCTCGGGAACTGAGCACAGTTTCAAGAGAGACACACGTGACGCAGAGTGAGGGGCAGGGGACACCTGCCTTGCCAACCAGAACCACCCTGGTGGCAGATGTCGCAATCAGATCACCCTCACATACAGAACACATTAACTCTTTTCAAACGTTTTGACCCCCCAATATGGGTCATAGTTGATGCAATGGCAAGGTTTTTTGGGGGGGAGGGGGGAACGCAGAGGTGAAAGCGGATGGAGCAGACCCTCGGTTCCTGTTCAGTAATCCAGGCACATTTTGTGTCACCTAATCCACTGCATTCCCTTCCACGTACCTTCACATATTCTATTTCCTCCCTGTGTTTGCTGTTTCCACCGCGCCTTCTTTCCTAACTAACCTTTCTGAATTTGGCCCTTGGGTAAAGGCTGCCCTTTTGATCTCGACTCCTGGTGATTCTAAGGTGTGTGCCGCCCTGATCTCTCCAACTCACGGCCACCGAGTCGATGCCGACTCATAGTGCTTCTGGACAGGGATGAACTGCCGCTGTGCGTTTCTGAGACTGTACCTCTTTACGGGAGTAGAAAGCCTGGTCTTTCTCCCAAGAAGTGGCTGATGATTGCAATCTGGGGACCTTGCCGTTAGCAGCCTAATTCGTAACCACTACACCACCCCCTACACTACACCCCCATTCTCCTCATAGACCTACTGTTAGGCTAAAAACAAAACACACTAACTCTGGGTAGCACCCGGACCTTCCTTCTTAACGTTCGTTTGCACTATCAAACCACCTCATGCTAGTTAGGGTTGGGAAAATTCTGCCATACATCCCATCTTCCTTATTCCTCCCCGTGTCCACAGATCAAGAAGACCAGGCACTGAAATCCACGCACCCTATAGCAAATGTGCTTGGTCAACTCCCACCCAAATCACAAGGTACAGTTAAGACAATAAAATAGGGTTTATGGTGGCCACCTCGGCAGTACCAACCTTTGACCCCAGGCCGGGCCGTCAGCTGGGTAGGTACACCAGGCCATCTCAGAGGCTAAGTGGCCTGTTGCGGGGCCAGAGCAGAACTGAGTCCAGAGCAATGGGGACAGGGCTGCACAGCCAGCCCCTTCGATGATCCAGGCCCAACTACGGCAAGCTGCAGGAGCCCTGGGGGAGGCCCCAGGAAGGCCGCCTCCGCCAGGCGCTGAGCCTCAGACAGGGGCGAGAGAAGCCCATACTCCAGGGCCTCGATGGAGGTGTGAAGGGCTGGAAGGCCCAGGTCAGGAGCGGTGACCCAGGGGCCTGGGGGACACGAAGCAGCTGATCCAAGTCCAGCGAGGAGGAGCCGTCAGTGGCTGAGGCAGTACCGGCAGGTAAGGAGAAGATGGGAGGGCTTTGTCGCCAGCTTCCCGGGTGTGACCCTGAGCCGGCCAGCCTCCCCAAAACCCCCGCTGGACACCACCAGCTAAGGATGGTGGACCCCCGCTGCTTCAGAGGAGACACCTCATCCAATGACCTACCTCTTCCCTGTGTTGCCAGGGGGGCAGGACGGCCTCCTCAACCCGGACTGCACTGCCCACTGGGCCTCTACCCCCAGCTTAATAGGAGCCCTATGGCCAGAGCACACGCTCCAGCCCACCCACCCCAAAGCAAGCTCTCCTCTAAGACCCCAACTGAGAAAGAGGGGGATCCTGCAGGATTCTGGACCCGAGGGCCCCTTCCCCTGTGATGCCCACAAGAGTCTGAGAAGCCTGCCTAGACGTGCGCCCGTGGGTGCCTCCCCCGCCCCACAAGACCAGCGGTAAGCACCCCGAAGGAGCTCGGTGAACCCAGACTGAGGCTGAGAGCCTCCCAGACACCAGTGGTCTCTGGCTGGGAGCCCCCAGCCCCTGCCTTTCTCCCTGGCTGTCCGTGGTGGGCAGGCACCCTTCTCCCTCCCAGACGGAGAGCCCACCAGGGCCAGGACCGTGTCTGGGCAGCCCTGGGGACTTCACTCTGCATTTGTCACCTCTGTCCTGCCCGTACCCTGATGAAGCAGGGAAAGCTCCGCCCTTCCCCGTGACAGAGGGGGAAACTGAGGCCAAGGCCAGGGATGTCTTGCCTTGGACTGCTCTGGCCCCACTTCCAGCCTTATGCTGGGCAGACAATAAAGAGAGGCTGGTCACTAAAAAAAAAAAAATAAGATAATAAAATAAAACCAACTCATCTTTTGGATACACCCACATCAATAAGAATCAAGATTTAAGACGTTGAGTGTCAGCCTAGTGTTACGGCCATGGTGGGTGCCCTAAGGAAACCACTTCTGGAGTTCAAGTCCGTAGAGAGCCCTCCTGTTCCTCCACTATAGAAATGCCACCACACCGCCAAGCCAGTGGTCGTTCATACTCACCAGGAGGAAACTGGGCTGCTGAAAGTGAGGGTACGCCATGGCGGGCTCTTGCAGTGAGTCCAAAGCAGCGGTCTTAGGGAGCCACTGTGGAGAGGCAAAGACAAGACCTCAACACCGGCCACATAACAGATTTTTGTGATCTGTCAGAATGCCCAGGAGCCCCGCTGGTGTAGCGGCTATGCACTGGGCTGTGATCCGATGGTTGGCAGTTCGAACCCACCAGCTGCTCTACAGGACAAAGATGAGGATGTCTGTACCCATAAGGATTGATAATCTTGAAAACACAAAGGACAGGTCTCCTCTTCTCAATAGAGCTGCTGTGAGTCAGCATCAACTGGTTGGTTGTGGGCTGTTTTGGCTACAAGGTCTACCAGCTACTCCAAGAAAGATGAGGCTGCCTGCTACCATAAGCATTTAATCTCAGAAACTCCACATAGGCTCTCTTCAAGTTGGAACCCATTTTTGGTTTGTTTGGCCACAGTGCCATGTTGGTATAAATAGAGTGTTGGACTGCTGACCAAAAGGTTAGCAGTTCAAATCCACCAACATCTTTGTAGAGAAAGAGGCAGTTCTATTCTCTGCTCTAGGTTACTGTGGGTCAGGAGAAAGAGGAAAGACCTCGACAAGATGGACGGGCACAGTGGCTGCAACCGTGGGCGCAGGCACAGGAACAACTGAGGCTGGCGCAAGACTGGGCACGGTTTCATTCTGTTGTGCGGTGTCACTATGGGTCAGAACCAGCTTGATGGCACCTAACAATAACAACAACAGCAGTAGCCAGGCCTGGTCCTAAGGACCCTTCATCTAGTTTCTCATTTAATCTTTAAAGATGATATCCCCACCCCACCACCATCCCACACTTTGCACTGCAAAGAGTCCCGTCCAAAAACTCACCTGACCCTATTGTGAAGGAATTTGCAGCTGTAACTAATGTCCCCAGGTGGGCCTGACCTCATCCAGGAACATCAGGGCATTTTTCAGCCAGACACAGCCAAAGGCAGCAGAGCACCAGAAGCCCAAGAAGCACTTGATGTCAGAGCTACTTTGAGTATGAAAGAGGCCACCTGAGAGGGCATGCAGGGGGAGGGAGGGAGGGGGGCACGGAGCAGCAAGGAAATGAGGCCATCATTCTACAGACGATACTGAATTCAGCCAGCCATTGGAGTGAGCTTGGAAGCATACTCTTGCCCAGAGCCTCTGAATTAAGACCAGAGAAGACTCTCAGCTGAGAACCCACCTGGACTTCTGATTCAAAAGCTCAAACTTGCCGCCATCAAGTCTGTTCCGACTCACTGTAACCCTAAAGGGCACGTCACAACTATCCCTTTTGAGTTTCCCAAAATAACTCTACGTGAATGGGAGTAGAAAGCCTCGTCATCCTCCTGCAGAGTGGCTGGTGGGTTTCCACTGCTGACCTTTCAGTTAGTTAGCAGCCCACTGTGTTACAACGCACTACCTCACCAGGGTAACTGTACTTCTGACTACACAACCCAAGCCCTGCTGCCTGCCAGTCAATTCCCACCCACAGAACCTCTGTAGGGCAGAGTAGAACTGCCTCCTAGGCTGTCAATCGTTAGGGGAGCAGAAAGCCTCATCTTCTCCCAAAGAGGGTCTGGTGCGTTTGAACTGTCAACCTTGAAGTGAGTAGCTCAATACATACCCCAACTGTGCCACCAGAGCGCGACTACTGGACTATAAGACAACCCGTGAGGCACCCGCAGAGGGCCGAGGGGGTTAAGTCACTTAACTCCAAGCTAGTCATTAGCCGAGCCTAGATTCAAATACACAGGCCTCCACACAAATCTTCGAGAGCCAAGCTAATTGTTTCCCACGTTTGACCTACTCAGGAATGAATGAGAAAGGACAAGCTCTGCCAAGGTTAAAACCCAGCGTCTTCAAGTCGATTCCGACTCAGAGTGACTCTACGACAAGGTAGAATGGTCCCCGTGGGTTCTGAGACTAGCTTTTTACAAGAGCACAAAGGCCCTTTGTCCCCTAGAGCAGCAGTGGTTTCAAACTACTGATCTTGCAGGTAGCAGCCCAGAGCAAAACCAGTACAGCATGAGGGCTGGGGCCGTGGTATTTTCAGTCGCCCAGAACGCATGTGATGCTGGATACCAAATAAGGAAGTCGGAAGAAAAATCGATCCATTTGAACTGCAGTGGTGGCGAAGACTATTGAAAGCACCACAGACTGCCAAAAGAACAAAGAGATTTGCTTGGAAGAGGCACAGCAAGCTCACCTCCTTGGAGGTGAGGATGGAGAGATTTCGTCTGACATAGTGTGGACACGTCAGGACATGTCTGATATAGATGACCCTCCACAAGATGGATTGACACAACGGCAGAAACAAGGGGCTCAAACACAAGAACAATTTGTGAGGACGGCACAGGACCAAGGAGTGTTCGCTCTGTTGTGGAAAGGTTGCTGAGATGGAACCTGGCCTTCTCCCACAGGGCGCGGGTGGTTTTCTGCCGCTCCTGGGAAAGGGGGACCTTGAGAGGATGACCTGACAGCTTCCAAATTCAAAGCCAAACCGACTGCAGTCCAAGTCGGTTCCGAGGCACAGCGACCCGACGGGGTAGAACGGAACTACCTCAAAGGGTTTCCGGGGCTGTCCACTTTTACAGGAACAGATAGCCTCGTCTTTCTCCCAAGTAGCGGCTAGTGGGTTGGAACCGCCGACCTGGCAGTGAGAGTGCCAGTGAGGTCCCACTAGGGGTTCTCCTGAGGCTGCTTCAGCCCTGGGCGAAGGAGCGGTCTCCTCCCGTTTGTGGCTGACCACTGTCCTGCGAAGGAAGCATCAGCGCCCCTCCTCCCCCGCCACACACACAGATAGGGAATATGGGGCTCGGAGCCGTCAAGCTTCAAGGATCACACCCGGCATCTTTCCTACGCCGCTCCTTGAGGCACAGGCTTCCTCCAACTCGCTCACCGAGAAGAGTGCGCGAACCAGGCGAGGAGGTGACATGATGGCGCTTTCTGGGCCCTCAACCCCCGCCCGACCGCTCCGGTCCGCGCAAAGTTGCCGGGGTCGAGGCCGAGTCTCGGGACTCAAGGAGGGCCGGCGACTCCCGGGAGGCCTCGACTGGAACCCCGGCCAGCCGCCGCTGCGCGGGGATGCCTCGTGGGCTGCTCCCAACACTCACCTGTGGCGTCCAGCGCGCAGTTGGCTGCGGGGACCCAGGGCGCCATTCCGAAACCCAGCGCCGCAGCGCGTCATCAAACTGCGCGAACTGCCACGCCCCCCTCATCAGTCAGGCGGGAAAACACGCCGCTACCTTTTCCGGGACTGACCGGAAATGCGCGTGCGTAGAGAGAAGGCCGTTAGGGTTTGCGGACGCGCGCCGAGGAAGGCGCATGCGCAGCAGTAGCACTGGCGCTCCGGAATTGGCCCGCCGTCGCCGAACCAGGAGCGCGCGCGCATAAAGTGAAGTCCTTCATTAGGATTCCCTGAGGAGCGCCGCCTACTGGTGAAGGGGCAAAGGCTACCTTTACAGCTGTTGCCTGGAGTTAGTTCTGACCCAGCAGCCCTCCAACAGAATGAAACTGCCCAGTCCTGTGCCATCCTCACAATGGTTCTTTTATTTAAGCCCATCATGGTAGCCACTGTGTCAATCCAGCTCGTGGAGGACCTTCCTCTTTTTCGCTGCCTCTCTACCAAGCATGATGTCCTATAGCAGCGGTTCTCAACCTGTGGGTCGAGACCCTTTGCGGGGGTGGGGGGGGCAGGGGTCGGGGGTCCAATGACGCTTTCACAGGGTTCGCCTAAAAAAAATGAGACACCGCTCATCTATCGGCCTTCAGGCGGGTCCCGCCCACATGCAGATACGCCCACATACGAGTACCGGGCGGGCAGGAAGGCTTATCCATGCTACACCATGCTTCAAGACAAAATTTCATTTGTCATTAGAAAGAAAAATTTCACAATATATAATTACATATTGTTTTTGGGATGAATCACCATGCTTTAATGATGTTCAATTTATAGCAATGAAAATATATCCTGCATCTCAGAAATTTACATGACGATTCACAATAGCAAAATTACAGTGATGAAGTAGCAACGAAAATAATTTTATGGTTGGGGGCGGTCACCACATGAGGAACTGTATGAAAGGGTCTTGGCATTAGGAAGGCTGAGAACCACCGCTCTATAGGCACTGGCCTCTCCCGACTCCATATATCCAAGGACACGAGAGGGCGTCTCTCCAGCCTTGCCTGTAAAGAACATTCTGGTTGCACTTCTCGCAAGACACAGCTGTTTATCCTTTTAGCAATCCATGGTACTTTCAATATTCTTCACCAGCAACCATAATTCAAATGCACGCACTTTTCTTTGTTTTTCCGTATTCAATAGCTAGCCTTCACACATAGGAGCCGATTGACAATACCATGACCTGAGCCCTGGTGGCATTGTGGGCTCTTCGGAAGATGAAGATTTCTACTCCCGTAAACAGTTACAGGCTCAGCATTTCGTTCTGGGAAATGTAGTCCTAAGAGATCGCGCAGCCTCTGCACATGCAGGCGGTTCTGGGAAATGTAGTCCTAAGGGATTGCGCAGCCTCTGCACATGCAGGCGGTTCTGGGAAATGTAGTCCTAAGAGATCGCGCAGCCTCTGCACATGCAGGCGGTTCTGGGAAATGTAGTCCTAAGAGAGGGCACAGCCTCTGCACATGCTTTGTCCATACCTCCACCTTTTGCTTGGCGGGAGCAGGATCCCGAATTCGGGACACCGACGGAGGGAGGGGCGAGCTCACGGCCAGCAGGGCGCACTGTGGTGCGGACGCCGGAAGGGCCAGGAGTGGCCAGTGCACTGATGGCGGCCCCGGGGCCCGGGCCCGGGCCGCCGGTGGGGCTGGAGGTGGCCCTGCAGAAGCTGGCGCTGCGGCGGAAGAAAGTGCTGAGCGCCGAGGAGATGGAGCTGTACGAGCTGTCGCAGACGGCGGGCGTCGCCATCGACCCCGACGTGTTCAAGTGAGAGGGCGTACCCAGCCGGTTTGGCACAGGGCGCAGGGCCTGGGTGTGTGTATGGGGGGTGTCCTTCGGCAGGGGTGGGGTGAGGGGACTCACTGCGCCCACTTTTGTCCTCGCCAGGATCCTGGTCGACCTGCTGAAGCTGAACGTAGCCCCGCTGGCCGTCTTCCAGATGCTCAAGTCCATGTGTGGGGGGCAGAGGCTGGCGAGTGAGGCCGCGGATCCTGCGGCTCTGCCTCTGCCCGCGGCCAGCGTGACTGAGACCCGAGGTCAGAGCTGGGGCCGCTGGCAGCGGGAGAGGGCAGGGCGCGTGCAAGGGATGGAGCTCACAGTGGCGAGGCCTTTCTGCCTATCCCCCCTCCCCCGCACCTCCCCCCCCCTCGCCTATTTCACTTGGCCATGCTGCCATCCAGAGGCCAGCATCCCTCTGGATCTTTGGCCGCCTCCACCTCTCCCCCTGCACCTTCATTCCACAAACAGGGACAAGATCGATCTGGCTCTTGCCCTCACGGTCACTCCTTTGTATCCCAGCAGGTCCCAGGTTCTTCCTAAGGGTCTGGACTGTTGGGTGGGGGTGGGGTGGGGTCCTTGCTTCCCCAAGGATCTGGGCTGGTGGGGTACAATAGATGCAGTGACCAGGTCCAAGAAGGTCTCGTGCCTGCTCCCAATCGCCCTGCACTTGTGGATGCTGTGGAGATGTGTTGGGACTCAGCACACCTGTCCAGGCAAATGGCGGGGGCCCAGGCCTGGCTGTCTTGGCATGTGGGGCACCTCATAGGGAAGGGGCTGGCACCTGGGTGGCGGAGGTACGGGGGCCCTGGGCACTGACCATGCTGTCTACTCTTTTGTGTCTCTCTCTGACCTCCAGAGACCTCCTTTCTCTCTGCCAAGAACCGTAGCCCCCCTGCAAGGCCCTCCTTTCCCGTGGCCTCTCCAGCTCTGCTCCACGGCCCAGCTGCCTCGCTTCCGCCTCTCTCTCCAGGGCCCCCCGGGTCCCTCCACCTCTCATGCTGCCTGTTTTCTCCTTTCGCAGGTTGCGTTTCTTGGCTTCTCTCAGGGGGGTTTGCTGTGGAAACAGCCATGGCCAGCCGAGTCGCGTAGTGTAGACACAAGGCGGCAAGACCTCCACGTTACTTAGAGGCAACCTGGGATGCTTGCATGGAGTCCTGGTGGCGTAGCTGCATTGGACTGCTAACCACAAGGTCGGCAGTTTGAAACCACCAGCCACTTCAGTGGAAAAAAGATGAGACTTTCTACTCCCACAGAGCATGGCAGTCTCTGCATCCCACAGGGGCCATTCTGCCCTGTTCTACAGGGTCGCCGTGAGTCTGCATCCACTCGATGGCAGTGAGTGTTTTGTGTGGTGCTCGTAGACCATGCTTTTGGGTGGGAGTTGGGACAGCATTAGAACGTCCGCTCCCTGGTAGGTGAGGAAGTAGGTCTGCCGAAGCTGGCATTGGAAGAGGAGGCGGAGATGACTGTCCCCTCTGCCAGCTTCCTTGGAGCAGCCTGTGAATGCCAATGCCAATGCATGTCGTACTTCCCAGGCCTTGTGGTTTAGTAACAGAGGGCCCTGCGATCCCCTGAAAGACTGGTAGTGTGTCCCGATCACATCCCTCCCCGTGCCCTCACCATACTGCTGCAGGGACCACTTCAACTTCAGGGCAAGGTTGTCTTTCATGCCTGGTCTCTGGAAACCCTGCTCCGGTACCCACACTGCCTGCCTGAGGCTAGGCAGGGAGGGGGCCAGCCACAGGCTGCGCTGAGGTGCTGAGTCTGGGCTGTGGCCTCCTCCTCTACACTTGATCCTAGCCAAAAGGCAGAGAAGCGATGTGTGGACTCCTTCTCTGAGGGGAGGGAGGGCTCACAGGCTGAGAATCTGGGTGCTGGGTAGGGTTCTCGAAGGCGCTGCCTGGAGGCAGGATGAATGGAGAAATGGTTGTGTCATTGTGTCCTGTTCAGTCCCTGGTGGCTCCGCTGAAACTGGGGGCGGGGCGGGATGGTCAGCAGGAAATGCTGGGCAGGGTTCTCAGTTGGTACTGGATGGTGGGTGTCACTCTGCCAAATATGGGGTGATGGGACCCCGTAGCCCCACCCAGCCTTTGAGGGAACCAGGCCTGACCTGGAACAGGGGCTGGAGCGGTGGCATCTATAGGCTTGGGGGTGACAGGGTCTGGGCATATGGACAAAGCCGGGTCCTAGGAGGTGAGCCAGCACCAGGTCTCAGGAGGGAGGGCGAGGTGAGAGGAGGGGAGGCCACTGGTTGTGTTTGGAGGGAGGGCCTTCTGGCCCACCCACCTGCCCCAGTGATTGGAGGTCACGGGGAGGAGAGCCACCTGGGGAGGAGTGAGGATTGATGGCATGATGGGTATCCACAGCGTGGCGGCGTGATGACCTCCTCTCACTTCACCAGGGGAAAGAGAACCCTCTAACCTTTATGCTGTGACACCCGCCACCACCCCTCCCACACTTCACAGCTGCATTTGATAGCTGATTGATTGATTGCCAAGGTCACAAAGAACTCTCGGACCATACCCAGTGGTGGGATTTGTTAGGGAAGATGCAGGTGACAATTCAGATTCAGGAGGCAGCTCCTTAGTCCAGGCAGCTCTTCAGCTGTGCTTCCGAGACGGGCAGACCAATCTGTTCAGCCTTTGCCATTCACCCCTGCTTGGGTAAGTGTACAAAACACTTTCGTGCCACCAATAAGTGCCCCAGGGCATTCCACTCTACCTAGAAAAGTCCTGCCTGAAGGTGCTTAGTTATCTTGCCCCACACGTCAGTGAACAGACCCATTGTAACCGCCTTGCTCTGTGGGATGAGAAGCCATCCAAACCCGCCGTTTCCCTGCTGCCCTCTCCTGGAATATGGCTCTCTCTCGCCTCCTGAGTCTAAAAGACTCGTCCCCAGTCCCCTTGGTCAGCAGAGGGCCCTGGGTTCTTTCATGGCCTTGTTCATCCCTCTGCTCATTCTGGGTGGTAGTCAGTTCTCCCATGTGACCTCTGGGAGGGCTTATGGTGGGGTAAACCTGCCCAGTCCCCTCAAGCCAGGAAAACCAAGCTCACTGCCATCAAGCTCATGCTGATTCATGGTGACCTGGTGGGACAGGGTAGAACTGCCCCTGTGGGTTTCCGAGACTAGCTCTCAAGGGGAGTAGAAAGCCTTGTCTTTATCCCAGCGCCTGTCGGGTGGTTTCCAACGGCTGACCCTGCAATTGGCAGCGGATGGGTAACCCCACTATACCACCTGGGTCCATATTTGCATGATCCCACCCCCGCAAGGGTGAATCACACCTCATTTGTATTACTAGCCATCTGTTCGATCTCATTGGTGGGCCACAATGCCTCATTTGCATAGTCCCACATATCCTTTGATGGGAGTTAAGAAGGCCTTAGAAAGAAAAACTCATATCAAAGTGGTTCTTTGCATCACATGACCGTGGGGGTAAATCTAGAGAGAGGAGGGCAGGTGAGACCTAAGGAGGCTGAATCCCCAAAGTGCTCAGTCCCGGGGGGATTTCCAGGGCCGGGTTCTTGAAACTGCCAGGCGAGCCCAGAGCCCAGTTCTCGGGCTTGAGCTTGGCTGTGTGTGGCGGTGGAGGGAGCCTGGCTGCTTTGCTGACTGCCAGGAAAGGACTGGAGGGGCTCAGGGCCCATGAAGAGGGTCTTAGTCTCCTGGTGCCGCTGTAACAAACACCCCAGTAGGATCTTCCAGACCAGACGTGTCCCGCGCAAGTCTGGAGGCTGGGAGTCCGAATGTAGGGAGATGGCTCTCTCTGTTGGTTCTGGGGGCAGCGATACTTGCCTCGGGTTCTCTAGCCCCGGCGCCCCTTGAGTCCTCGGCGATTTTTGCATGGCGTCCGCCTTCCCTCGTTTGTGTTCATGTCTCTGTTGCCTCTTGGTGGGGGTGAGGGTGGTTCTGGCAAATTGGTTCCAATTCTTACTGACTTGCACAACAGAGCGAAGCCCTGCCCGGTCCTTCACCCTCCTTGCGCTGCTGGCGCCTCAAGTTGCAGCCACGGTGTTAGTCCATCTCCTTGCGGCTCTTCCTCTTCTTCATGGACCCTTTATTTGACCAAGCAAGATGATCTCCAGGGACCGGTCCCTCCTGATCACATGTCCAATGTGTGCGAGAAGTCTTGACATCTTTGCTTCTAAGGAATATTCGGGCCCGTCGTACAGATGTGCACCTTCTGCGGGCAACCCGTGGGCATTGGTGCTTTTTCCAACCGACACCGATGTGGCCTCCTTAACCTACAAAGAAACCACACCCCCAAAGGAGGTTCTATTGACTGGTACAAGGTGGAAGATCCCAACGGGTATTTTGGGAGACCCAATCCCCAAACAAGTGGCCATGCCTGGAGTCTGCTGAGACCACAGGGACAGCTGTCCTCGGAAGCGCCGAGACCCCTGAGGCCCACAACATCTAAGACACATCCCCCAGACCTGCCAGTTGCCCAGGTCATGCCAGGATCTGAGATGGTGGAAACTGGTCTGGGATGGCGACCGGGGGTGGATGGGCCATGGGCTTCCTACAGAAGAGTGTGGATTATTCCGGAATGATGGGGCATGAGCTGGGCACAGGAGGCCAAGAGTCAGGCACAGCAGGGACCCTGAGGTCATCTGGACTCATCCCCTGCCATTCAGGTGGTCACTGTCATGTTCCCTGTATATGTTGAGTGCCTTCCCACCAGCAGGAGGACGATGGGGCAGGCTGCTCCCACAAAGGGGTCAAGTCTTGTAAACCCAAAGTGGGTCTCCAGACTCTATCCTAGCGGGTTGCTGTGGGTCAGAATCAGCTCAGAGGCAGTGGGCTGGGCTGGGCTTGACTTGGTCTGGTTTGTTCCAACCTCGGAGGTTTTTCTTTTAGCTCTTGTATGGGACAGTATTCTGTTGGGATCCATGGGGTCTTGAGGGATTTGGGGGGGCAGTTTTCTGAAGTAGATTGTTTGGGCTTTTCTTCTTAGTCTGGAAGCTCAGCTGTATTTGAAATATCCGTGGCTAGGCGTCTAGTATCATAGCAACACCTAACCTTCACGGTTAGACACTGACGGCCTGGAAGTGGTGGATACTTTTCACTCCACCTTTATCAAATCAACTGTGTACAAACACTTCCATCTGAAACTCAGAGGAGGAGGCGGGGTGGGGTGGGGTCAAGGGAAATAAAAAAGGAAGATGGTCCTAGTTGGGGTCATTTTAATCCTCCTCACCCCACCAAGGCACCCCGGTGGTGCAGTGGGTTCAGCCCTGGGCTGCTTAAGGAAAAGATTGGTGGTTCAAACCAGCCAGCAGCTGTAAGGGAGAAAGATGAAGCTGTCTGCCCCCTTGAAGACCGACAGTTTCAGAAACACGATGGAACAGTTCGGAATCGGTGGTAACGGGGCTTCTCGTCTCACTGGGCAGTGAAGTCCCCCAAGGAATCACTTTCTAGAACTTCTCATAAGTAGAACCACCCTATCATGGAAAAGATCCAGGGAAGTATCTAGTTTTTACAATTAGAGACCACAGGATGTGAACCTGAAGGCTCCTTGGAGGAGTTAGGGGGTCTCCTTTTCAAAAACACAGGGGCCTCCTCGAAATGGGTGTTTAGCCCATTGTTGTCACCACCGTGTCAGCCCCTCCCATGGAGGACCTTCCTCCTTTCTGTTGACCCTCTAAGTTAACAGAGGAGCCCTGGGAGCGTAGTGGCTGCGATCCATGTGGCCAGCAGTTCGAAACCACCACTAACAGCTCTGCAGGAGAAAGACTGGGTTCTATACACCCATAAACAGTTACAGTCTCGGAAACCCACAGGGGGTCGCCATGAGTCAGCACTGACTTGATGGCAGCGAGTCGGTTTGGAGTTCTCTGTTACCAACCCTGGCACCCTCCTTCAAGCTCTGAGCCTTCCTAGGTACGCCAGGCCCCAAGACACGCCCCCCCCCCCCCCTTGGCATCCGTTCTCCAAAGACGCACAAGTCAATATTGCTTTTGTTGATTTGTTAGAAATAAACAAACCGGGGGCTTCAAAAAGTTCATGAAAAAACTCCATTAGCTTTTCACTGCCCACAAAACCGTTTTATCGGCATGTAATTCACACGTCATACAATTTAATCACGCAGTCATACTAAGAGTTGTACAATCATCACCAGCATCAATTTTAGAACATTTTCTTCTTCTTGTTAGCTCCCCATTTCCCCCCAGCCTCCCCTGCCATGCCCCTGGGTAATTTTCTTTTAACCCTGTACTGGGGCCTAATATAGACATCATATCGTTCCATAGTTCAGTCACATCTGGCAATATCGTACAATAGCTACCACAATTCCAAAACATTCTCCTTCCTGAACTCCTTGACATTAGCTACTCCCCCAATTGCTGTTATCAATCTCTATGGATTTACCTATCTGCATTTCATAACCGGAAAATCATACAAAAGAAGAATGGGAAAAAAATGACAAAACAGGAAAACCTCAGTCAAAAAGAAAGCAGGAAATAGTGAAAACAGACAAAGGGGGCCAAAAGGGAGATCAGATGACACGGGGTGACATTTTAACCAGACTACGTCTGCCATTATCTACTTTACCGTCCTTTCTGTCTGACAACACGACCATTCACATCCCTGGACTGTGGTCAGAGGGGCTTCACGGGAGGCTTAATCCATGTGGGGACTCAGCCCAAAATGGATCTTGGGCTTCCACTGTCATCCATAGCCTTCTGCAAGCCAGGTGTTTACCATTTAAGTTCTAAAGCCTTTCCATCTGGATTTGGATTTTACCCTTTAAAATCCTTGGATCATACAGGCTGGTGTGTTTCTTCCACATGGGCTTAGATGGATTCCTCTTAGAGATGGCTGCGTGTTTGAAGACAAGCCTTTAAGCCCCCAGACCCTGTTCCTTTCCACAAACCTTTTGAACCAACCTCTAAATGACACACCATTAGCCAAGGAAAGATTTTGTACACCCTCAGCGTAGTGATGCCATTTACATTAACCGTGTTAGGCAACCACCATTACGAGATGCTCACTGCTTCCTAAACCATGACCTCACCTACCTGCCCCCACTCACTGCTAATCAACGTTGACCTCTCCACTTCTGCCCATTCTAGATAAACTTCATCAAAGTGAGGCGTGGGCAGTCCTTGCCCTTTTGTAAGTGGCATATCCCAGGCAGCATAATGCTTTCAAGCTCCACCCCATCATCAAACGATTTGTGGGGAAATGCGATGAAAAAGTAATTTTGTCCCGCAAATTCTGGGCAGCCTCCGTGTCTGAAACAGCCCAGACGTGACCCCTGAGGTGCGTTCTATGTGCGGGCAGTGCCCTTGGGAGTGTGTGAACACACTGGAGGAAGTGGGAGGCCAGCTGTGGCATCCAGGGACAGGGATGGAAAACAGGTGGATGCCCCAGACCTCACCTACCTGCAGCTACTTCCTTCCCAGCCACCTGCCATTCCTCGAGTCCACACATGCCACCTGTACTTCCGGCCTCCCTCAGTGCCCGGCTGGCTGAGCTATGGAAAGTGGACTAGAC